GACCCAAGTGCGTGGGGGGTGCTGTTTGGGTGGTGTACAGCAGTGCACTCTGCTTATCCTGCCACAAAACATTCTTAACACAGCCATGAGAGAGACCACTGAGGAATACAGGCCATTCGCAGCACAGCTGTCGAATGTTTACCTCACCATCCTCTCCCTCTTCTGCTTCAAACTTTTCGTTAGAATTACCCTTAATCTACTCGCACACTTCTACATCATCAAAGGCAACCGCAAGGAGGCTGCCCGGATTTCAGCTGAGTTCTATGATAATGGTCAAGGGCATGGTAAGTAGAGCATGCACTTACATCACTGCACACCACTTGGGTGGCAGGAGTGTGGATTTAATTTCCTATTGCCAGCGTTTGCCCTTTATGATGGGCCGTTTGCATGGATATATATGGAACATGGGGAATATTACTGCAGTGTAGCTTTATTTATTTATAATAGCTGTCATTGCATGTGATGAGGACCACAACAGGGAGTTCAGTTTTTCATTATGGTATTTTAGATATGCTTTTCAAACACTAAACAGTTCGGGAAGTGTCATATCTGCATTCCAAAGCACATTCTTAAGATTCATATATTTGAGCTTCAGTACCTACGATCACATGACCACAGATCCTAAACATGCAACTTCAAGCACATGGAAGTTCACTAAATGTGCTTGCGACACGAAGCCCGGGAATGGCTGCCAGGCTGCTGTTTACAGTGTTGTATAAATAGAATTGAGGCCATGCACCCCCCTCCCCTTTGACTATACAAGAAACAGTTATCTTCAGTCTATCAAGCGCTTGTGCAGCCAGACGCATGTCTGCTGGATTTTGAGCAATGCAGCCGGGCCGTATAAACAGCAGTGAGGGCTTTTGGTGTAAACAAGTTGTCTCGCAGAGCATCTCAGAAAACAGCTTCTCCAAGTTTAAGATCAGGGAGAGAGGAACAGAGACGGGTGATAGTCACAGGGGATTGCCATAGTCTGGCTTTTACTAAGCAACTTAAGTAGGGCAACATAGATAAAAACACCAGACAGCTTCAGTGACTCTTTTAAAGCATTTTTTTAAGAGAATGATATAAGGAGGAAACATTTTCCTGAAGGGACACAAGCTCTGTCAAAGTGGAAGTCTTGCTGAGCTGGTTAACCAGCCAAGGTTGGTGCTTTGATATGTTTCGTGTGTACGTGGACCGACTTACAATATAATGAGTGCAAAAGTGAGCTGTGTTCTTGAATTAATTGTTCTTGAATGTGAAGCTAAGAAGGAAAATCGAAAGATACAGATTTGCGTGGCGGTTCAAACGGTGTCAATAGAGAGCTGGTTTATATTTTGGACTTGAAGGATAATATTATACTATATTTGAGTGAGTGATGAAGGGAGGTGACGATGATGGTGACGTGTGGAATGCATCAGCAGTTATTCTGGATATTGACAGGTGTATCAGCTTTTGGGATACAAAATCCCATTTACATCTTAAAATAAGGTTATTGGACTTTTAATTAAAAAAAAAGTAATGATAAAATTAATTAGGCATTTGTAATATACAAAATATTTAATATAATTTTTATAGAAAAAAATTAAATGAGAAAAATCTGAATTCAATTAGAAAATTAAATGAATGCAAAATAGAAGGATACATATTTTAAAATTCCAAAATTTCCTGTTTGGCAAATTACTGTTTTTATTCTTCTCCAGGGTCTTGGGCCGACCGCTCTGCTCTTCATGATGCTGCCAGCCAAGGACGACTGCTGGCTCTCAAGACCCTCATTGCACAGGTAGTTTCTCATTTAAATGACCTTTAGTTGAACTGTAAGATAAGAAATACGTAATTGTATTAATATGTGTAGTATTTATATCTCGTCGTCACATGCACTCTACCGGATAAATAATGCAATACACATTTAGTGTAGAGGTGAACGCTGTAATCCATCATGCACGCTAGTGAAGGGCATTGCTGCCACCATCTGGAATAAAAGAATCCTACACATTCTAATGCAATATTCATTTCTCTTAAACTGTCCTCAGGGCCACAGCGTGAATGTGCTGACAATAGACCACATTAGCCCTCTTCATGAGGCCTGCATAGGGAGCCATGTTGCCTGTGCCAGAGCCCTGATAGATGCTGGAGCCAACGTTAGTCTCTGCAGGGCTGATTGGTAACACTTTCATTTCACAGGTCGTGATAAGCAGGCTAGGCTCGTGTTATTGAGTTTAGCATTTTTTAACACAGTGGAAGATTTTTGCTTTATTACACTGAAATATGATGGTGATGATTATTATTAAATATATCTATTAAA